AAAACGCGTGTTCTGCCTGCTCACCCTCCAGATGCAGCCCTACGACACAGACTGCCCCAGATGGTCTTGAAGGTCTTTCCGAAGCAGGGGCAGACCACTAAGATAAGATGCAGGCAGAGATAACATGTTCATCGGCACCGCCACCCCCTTGCAGGAGGTCGACAAAGGCGCATGTTTGTGCAAGTCCTGGCAACTGGCAGGCGTGTGAGTGTTCACGTTTCCGCTGCTGCAGCCTCCGCAGATCGCCGAGCTCGCCTGACGAGCCCTTGCTGCCTTTGCTAAAACCTGCTCCCACCTCTGCCAGGAGAGTGCCACAACAGCTGGGAGGCCCTCAGTGACGCGACTGATTCCCCAGAAGAGGAAGAAGCTGCAGAAGCATAAACGATCAGGGGTCCGCGCAGATTTCTTGGATCGGCGCCGACCCCCCTCACTCCCTCACTGGCGCGTGGAGGGCGCCAAGGGCGGCGCGGGAGGCACCGCTAGGGAGGGGGCCCGGCGCAGGCCCAGGAAATCTGCGCGGTCATTGGAAAGCCTAAATTGATGCTTTTTTGATCCCTCTTGGCCCCACGACTCTGGCCGTGAAGCCTCTCCTCAGGGGTCCTACGAGCGGTGCGATAGCGGACCGCGCGGTGACCTCGAAACCCCCAGAGACCTCACCGCACCGCCCGTCGACGCACGGTTTCGGGACCCTTGAGGCCTCTGCCGCCCGAGACCTACTCGGAGAACGACACAACTCCCAGAACCGCGCGGTCACCCCGAACCCCCACTGCCTCACAACTCCGGGCTTCCTCCGAATGTTGGGTTCCCAGGCCATAACTCGGGTCTCCGGCGGCCCTTCGGGACGATCCTGGCACCCCCAGGACGCCCTCGGCGAGGCGCAGCTGCTGGAACGCATCCCGAAACAGGAAAACGCCCCGGAACCGACGAGAACGTCCGAACACGTTCGAAAATCCCCACTGACTCACCGTGCGGAGTCGTCACCACACCATTTGAGGCCACCCGACTCTTCACGTCAAAGCACCCGCGCCTGCCCCGGGAGACACCCTCTGGGCGGGGCTTCGCGCCGAAGCGAAAAAAAGAAAAAAAAAAAGAAAAGCGGCGAATTCTGCCAAAGCACTGCCGCTGACCCCACGCCGCGATCCTTCTCCTCCTCTTCCTCCCCTCCTCCTCATCCTCCTCCTTTCTCTCCTCCTCCTCCTCCTCCTCCCTCCTCCTCCTCCTCCTCCTCCCTCCTCCTCCTCCTCCTCCTCCTCCTCCTCCTCCTACTCCTCCTTCTCCGCCTCCCCCTCCGCTCCTCCTCCTCACATGCCTCCTCCTCCTCCTCCTCCTCCTCCTCCTCCTCCTCCTCCTCTCCCCTCCTCCTCCTCCTCCTACTCTCCTCCTCCTCCTCCTCCTCTCCTCTCCTCCTCCTCCTCTCCTCCTCCTCCTCCTCCTCCTCCTTCCTCCTCTCCCTCCTCCTCCTCCTCCTCCTCCTCCTTCCTCCTCCTCCTCCTCCTCCTCCTCCTCCTCCTCCTCCTCCTCCTCCTCCTCCTCCTCCAGCATCCCTCCTCCTCCTCCCTCCTCCTCCTCCGCTTCCCTTCCTCACACTCGCCCCTACTCCCCTCCCCTCCTCCTTCTCCCCCGCCATCATCCCAATGGTCACCATCATACCACAATCCATAACACCACCACCACCACCACCATCATCATCATCATCATCAATCTCATGCGATCATCATCATTCATCAATCATCATCATCATCACCACCATTACCATCACCTCCCATCACCACCACCACCATCATCATCAGCATCAGCATCATCATCAGCAGCAGCATCATCATCCTTCTCCTCATCATCCTCCTCCCCGTCCTAGCAAACAGAATCGGCGGCACTGGCGGCAAGGCCTTCGCAATCTGCAGAAGTCGTGGAGGGAACCAGCTCATGAGGGGGACATCGAGCGTGAATCGGCAATACGTTGCAGGTAGATCAGTGGTTGGCCCCCAATCGGCGATAGGCCCCATGGGATGGGTGGGTTGTCAAGCCCCATATCGGCAATCAGTGGGCGATTGGGGGTCAATGCCAATGCATCCCCTGAGCCTTCCCCCCCCCCTATCTCCCGCTGAGCCTATCCCCCCTGGGGAAGTGAGGCCTTCTCCTTCTCACTTCCCCCCCTCGCTCGCAGCCGCAGGTTGGAGGTGGCCAGAGGGCCTGAGCTGGTTGGGATCCCAAAAACATCGGTCAGGGGGGGGGAGATGAAGCCAAATACGCTCAAAATGATTCCCCGGACCCCTCCCGGGTCCATCTGTTGCAGCCCCGGCCCCGCTTTTGATGGTCCAGGCCCCCGAAGGCCGCAAGAGGCAAAAGACAGTCTCGAAACCAGCGCCTCGGACCTGCCCCCCCCCCCTCATGCTGGCCGGAACCAGGTGCTGGGCCACCTCAGACCCCGAGCCGACTCCAGCCTGCCGGCACGCTCGTGCTCCTGCCACCGCGGGGCGGCGCCTCCGCCTCCACCCCCCGCCCCAGATACATCCAGCGCGGGGGCCTCGCGGACCGCGCTCGGCGGCGGCGCGGGGTACGGCGACAGCGGCACGGGCACGGGCGCCGCGGCCCAGGGCGCCATCGGCACGGCAGGGCCTCCCCCTCGGCGCTCCGCTCTCGCACCGCCGCTTCCTCTCGACGTCCTCCTCTGGCCCCCACTGGCAGGCAACTCGCGGGAGCCTGCCATGCCATCGTGATGAAACTTGCGGATCGACGCTGATCGACGCCAGTCGATGCTAAATCGACGCGAATCGACGCTAGATCAGCGCTAAACTGGCGCTTTCTCATAGATTAACCAGACGCTGGCGCACGCTGGTGCACCCTGAAGGCGGAATTACGAGGACACACAGAGCTCCTGGAATTTGCTACCGAACGCCCCTACTGGAGGCCTCCCAAGTGGGGCCCGGCAGATGGGGTCGGAAGCTCGCGCCGCATCGCCCATCCATCGGCGACGCACTGGCGATACATCGGCGCTGCCAGCGCGGAGAAACGGGCCCCACATCGAGCCGCATCGCCGAATGCACCGGCGCCGCAGCGCGATCCTCCGATCCCCTCTTGGCGATTCCGCAGGCCCTCCTGCACCCCGAAATGTTGGCGTCTCACTCTGACTTCCGCCGCCTTCCGCCGCCCTGCCGCCCGCCTCCGACCCAACCCGCCGCCGCTTCACCTCCGCCGGCCTCCGTCGGCCTCCCGCCGACGCTCCGCCGAAAGCGGAACGCGCCGAAGGCGACTGGGGCGCCCCATCCCCAGACATCGACATCCGCGGACATCATTGTTTCCATCCGCGGCCCCGGAAGCTCCCGAGCCCCTCCCCATGGGCCCGCTTTGAGCCCCCAGGCTCCGTTCTCGGTGGCCCTGCTCGGGGCCCGGCCACAGGCCCCGGGAGGCCGAAGTCGAGGCAAAGACGCTGGCTGGAACGTGCTCGCTCACCTGCGCGGGCCCCAAGCAGTAAGTCATTCCACTGAAGGTGCAGGCTGCCTACGCCCGGGAATATTCGGCGGTGGACAAACCTCCCTGTAGCAAGCCACCCTTCAATAAAAACGGCCCTGGACCGAAACCGACGGACCTGGACCCGCAAAAATGACGGCCGCGACGTCCTCTCGCGAATCGAAAACGAAACAATTGGCCAATCGACGCGTCATGGTAGGAGGTCTGTCAACCTCCGAGATATACGAGTGCCCGAGCGTGGCGCACTCTCGACGCTACAACACCAGCGGCAACGGGCGGCAACGCGCGGCAACGTGCAACGTGGCAAATCCTCGACGCAACCACCCCAGCGGCAACCGGCGGCAGCGCGGCGAACCCTCGACGCACCCACGCAAGCGGCACCGGGGCGGCGACGGGCGGCAATGGGGCGGCCGCGGGCGGGAACACACGGCGACTCCTCGGCGCACCCACCCAGTCCCTTTGAAAGGCAACTGGCCATCGCTCGGACGTCCATTCCCTGTGTTGTTGTTCGGTTTCGTGCGTGGCTTTTTTGCCCAATGATCACGGATGCTCCTCGAGGGTACTCGCCGAAGGAAAACTGCACACGTCCGAGCGATGCCAAGACAAGGAAGAACGCCCAGGTGCAAGCACCTTCGGGGGAAGACGGCCAGGAGCTGCTGCTCCGCGCGTCGCGGCGGCGGCCCGTGGCGGCACGCCGTGCCGTGCCAGCGGACAGCGTGTCGCGCCGCCCGGCGGGGCGCGGGAGAGCTCGGGACGTTGGCGCCCGGGGACCGGGCAGTGGTCCGCGTGTCTTGGCGGCGCGCAAAAGGGGGTGGGGGGAGGGGGGGGACTTCTTAGAAGCAGGCTGCTTCTTAGAAGGCGCGGCATCACATGTATAGATAAGGCCCGCGCCTTCTAGAAGCAGGGGTGCTTCTAAGAAGCCCTCCCCCCTCCCCCCACCCCCCTCTGCGCGTGGCTGAGCGTCGCGCCGAGGCGCGGTGGCCCAGAACCGGCGGCGCGACACGCTGAGCCAAAGTCCCTGGCCCAATCGTCGGAGGTCTGGGTCTGACCCTGGCCCCACTCAGGAGAAGAACATGCGGCAGAGGCATAAACTTCTGGCGCTCCGCACGGATTTCTTGGATCTGGGCTGGAGCCCCCCTCCCTGGATCTGCGCCTCCGGCGCCGCCCGGGGGGGGGCCCCGCGCGGATCCAACAAGGCAGCGCGGAGCGCCGAAAGCTTATGCTTCTGGCGTTTTTCCACGTCGACACACTGGGGACGCCTGGACCCCCGAAAGCATCTGTGGACGTCACGTTACCCAACTTGTCCACAGACGCTTTTGGCTTGGACGTGAGAACGATATTTGGCATCGGCTCTAGAAGTTGGTCTCCTAGAAGCAGGTAGGCTCACCACTCCAAGACCTGCCCACGTTCCCGCTCTCGCGCGCCGCGCCTGGATTTCTTGGATCTGCGCTGGACCCTCATTACCATCATCATCGTAATCATCATCATCCCAAGCATAATCATCATCACAATGGTCATCATCAGCATCGTCAGCATCATCATGACCATCATCGTCATCAGCATCAGCATCATCGTCATCATCAGCAGTATCATTAACAGCATCATCATCATCGTCAGCAGATGCATAATCACCGTCGTCATCAGCATCAGCATTATCATCGTCATCATCAGTATCATCATCCCAAGCATTATCAGCATCATATTCGTCATCATCACCATTATCCTCATCATAATCAGCATTGTCAGAATCAGTACCGTCATCACCATCTGCGTAGCATCATCAGCATCAGCAGCAGCATCATCAGCATCATCGGCACCATCATCATCATCATCATCATCATCATCATCATCATCATCATCATCATCAACATCAACATCAACAGCAGCATCATCAATATCATCGTTACCATCATCATCATCATCATCATCATCATCATCATCATCACCAGCATGATTGACATCATCAACATCAGCATCAGCATCAGCATCGTCATCATCATCATCATCTTCAGCATCATCATCATCATTAGTATCATCATCACCTGCATAAATCATCATCATAATCATCATCCTCATCGGTAGCATCATCATCAGCATCATCATCAGCATCAGTATCAGTATCGCCAGTATCATCATCATCATCATCATCATCATCATCATCATCATCATCATCATCATCATCATCATCATCGTCATAATAATCATCAGATTCATCATCACCAACTGCATCATCATCACCATCATCATAATCAGCATTATCAGCATCATTAGCATTACCATCGGTATCATCATCATCTGCAGAATCAGCATCATCAGCATCATCGGCATCATCATCATCAGCATCATCATCAGCATCATCATCACAATCATGAGCAGCAGCATGAGCATTATCGTTATCGTCAGCATCATCATCATCATCATCATCATCACCATCATCATCATCATCATCATCATTGTCATCATCATCAGTATCATATGTATCATCATCACTGTCTGCATAATCATCATCAGCAGCATCACCAGCATCATCATCATCAGCATTAACATCATCAGTATCAGCATCATCATCTTGATCAGTATCGTCATCATCATCATCATCATCCTCATCAGCATCATCACCATTATCGTGTGCATAATGATCATCAGCATCATCAATATCATCGTCACCATCATAATCATCATTAGCATCAGTATCATCGTCTGCCTAATAAACATCATCATTGCCATCATCATCAGCAACAGCAGCATCCGCATCTGCGAAATCGTCATCAGCATCAGCATCAGCATCATCATGATAATAAAATTAAGTATCATCATCATCGTCGCCATCATCAGCAGCATCAGCATCAGCATTAGCATTAGCATCATAAGCAGCATCAGCATCAGCATCATTCTTCTCCTCCTCCTCCTAGTCCTCTGCCTGCGCCCCGTCGGGGAAAGGTGCTGTGCAGCTCGGCCCCGCCAAGCTGATCATGGATTGAGTACCTGTGCGTGGACCATCATGGCGAGGCCTGGAGGGCATATCCATTTCTCCTGCACAAGCTTGGAGGGGAAGAGGGGGAGCGGACACAGCAGCAAGATGACAAGCTCGGTGGCTCAATCGTGAAGTGACTAAGCTACCTGGCAACTTCGAGCGCCGTGCACACGAGCGGCATTAAAGCGTCCAGCCACGTCGAGAGGCTGTCCTGCGAAGGATCGCAAATATACGCGATTACTGTGCTGCGGCAGGCAAGTGTTAAAGAAGCGCGGGAAAACGGACCACTGTGCATCCAGGGGCGCTGGACATGGACACGGGTGGCCCCGCAGGCCAGGAGGGCGCATCCATGAACCGCCCACCAATCCCAGATGCCTGACAATAGCGCTGGCGAGAGTGCTAGGCTCACTGCTCACAGTGTGGGCATGGAGCTCTCAGCCCCACCCTGGGGCCGACTTTTTCGCAATGGACCGTATCACGACTGATCCTGGGATCCGAAAAAACCTGGGCGCCGAAATCGCGAAAGAACACATGGGGCGCTCGATTCCTCCACCTTATACACTTCCTACTCCTGCCTCGAGGTCCGACGTCGTGGGAACGTACAACGTTGTGAAAAAACGCGACGGGAACTCTCAGGAGTCCGTCTTCATGCGTACGTGTAAATCGGGCGTGTCCCCCTACAGGCGGATTTCGGACGAAAATAATAAAATCAAAAAATACTGAAAAATGCTCAAAGTATTTTAAACAAATCCTCCCCGAATTATTTCTTGACTATTTTTGAATATTCCTCCTGTACATGGACACGCCTTAAGCATACGTTTTTGAGCCAGATCGAAACGTCATGGCCCCAGAGCCCTTTGGGTGGTGTCTGGGGCGTGGGCGTCGTGTAGGACGGGATATCGAAATGCCACCATTTCCCCCCCCCCCCCCCCTGGAGCGCATCGGGCTCGTCTTTGGGAAAGCGCAGTCCCCTGGTCCAGGGCCCGCGTGGTAGGCGCTGCCCCGTGCGTCTGTTATCCCCTCGGGTTGCCAGGAGGCATCCCAGTGGGGTCCGAGTACATGGGGTCAGAGGACCAGGCCAGCAACGATGCATCGTCACCATCCGGCGAGAAGAAAACTGGGCTCCACATCGAGCCGCATCGCTGATGCACCGGCGACGCGGCGCGATCCTCCG